GAAGTGCTGCAGTGTGGACTTGCGGCGCGATCATTTGCCCGATCGTGTCGCGCAATGATGGCGTCCCAAGCCTCCTTGGTAGTCCGCTTGCTGGTAAACGAGAACTACATCTCGGGCGGGACTGCAGCGATGAGAGCATCCAGCGCCCGTCGATCTAGGTCATAGTCGACGTCGCCGTACCGGACTGCCTCCCACATGTGCCGCACCTGGAGCTTTACCCTCATCACCGCAGCCCACTCGACGTAGTTGGTCTTGGTGAGGGTAGGCCACCCACCGCCGGGGCCGACGTCCCTGACAATAGCCTGGAACCCGTGGTAACCACGGTACCGATCCGGGGAGAGAGAGCCACGCTGCCTGTGAAGGCTGCGATCTCCATTGATCTGTCGATACCGATCCAGGGAGGGAGAGCCACGCTGCCTGTGAAGGCCGCGCTCTCCATCGACCCGTCCGTCACCGTTGCCGTGCGCGCCTCCTCCAGGAGCGCCGCCGTTGTGCACGCCTCTACCAGGAGCGCCGCCGACGCGTCCACGCCTGTCTGGGCTGCCACCGCGCTCGTGGGCGTGCGCGGTTGCCTCAGGAGCGCCACCGCCATGCTCGCCTCCTCCAGGAGCGCCGCCAGCCAAGCGTCGCGCGCTGTTAGGCTGCCGCCACGCTTTCGTGGCGTCGCGTGGCTGCCGCCTCACCGCCGCCAGCGCTGCGCCCTCCCTCTTTAGCAGCTCGAGGTCCACGTCGGCGGTGTCGTCAGCGAAAATGGAGCTGCCGATCTTTGCCACAGAGCCTCGACCTCATTGCTTTGCCGCATGCGCCGATTCGCCGCCTCGCTCTGGCTTCGCCCGCCGCCACTTTGCCGCCTCGGCGCGCTTTGCCGCCGCCATCGGCCTCTCTGCCGCCCGCCGCACGCCACGCTCTGCCGTGGCTCGTTTCCCTCTGCGCTGCAAGTTCAAGACGACCGAAGCCGACGCCCATGCATGACGCTCGAGGCGGCCGAAACACCGAGAGAGAGCCTCGCCTGGACATGAGGAGCGCTAGGGGGGTTGCTTTCGCATGCAGAGGGCTGTTGTGTGGTGGGAGAGAGAGATGAGCGAGGAGATGCTCGAGACTCTGAGGATAATACGGCTCGATACTGGGCTTGTTAGTCGTTGAACTCTTACTCTCGGTAGTAGCGAGAATTCTTACTCTCATCGAGAGAGGATGACACTAGGAGTTGAGACAATTTTCCGGTTTATTTCTCACACAAACTCACATTAAATGTCATACCAACCTAAGGGGTTGGGGTTACATATTATAGGTCGCTAGCTGGCCAAGTGATATATGTCAAGATGCTAGTCTAAGATACTAATATGTTGTTCTAGTTAAGATGCTGTCATCTAGTTCAAGATGTTGTCCTCTAGTCTAAGATGCTGTCCTAAAAACAGAAAAACAACCACAAGAACCATATGAGCAGCACAGCCCCACAAAAACCAGCTACACATAAAACTTATCCATCACATTTTACAGTTTATTTAACAGATAAATGAAAATGAGCTGGTTTTAAAACGATCAAATCAGAGCTCACATCCTGGAATACTGGTAGACCAAATGAAAACGTATGTATGGCCAGGACAGGACATGAGCGTCCGGTAGAGCCGCAGTCCCTTCTTGGCACGGCATTGAACTGAGGCATGTCAGGCTGTCATGACGACGACGGCTTTGTTTTGGCGCAACTCAAACACAAAAGGCACAGACTGATTATGTCATGTGGGCCGACAGTACAGCCTCCGGCCTCGAACACGAGGTGCAGTTGGGGCAGTCTCCGAGGGACATATGGCCTGTAAGAATCAAAAGGTTTAGGTGGCTGGAGGGTCTGCAGTCTATAAGCCAACTAAGTAGAAGTTGAAGAAATTAAAGAATTAATTAACTAGCTAGCAGTTAATGGCCAGCGCAAGTAGCAATGGAGCAGAGCTCCTATATATATACCCTTGTATTCGTTGAAGGAAGTAAGAAAGAAGTTATTCTCTAATCTTCTCATTTCTCTGCTATTCTTAATCTCACCTCCTGCTGGGGTAGTTAGTCAAAAACCCTGATACTCCATCACCTGGTTCGAGTTACGAGCTGAGAAGTCAGGGGCCTCCACTCTAGGAGCCCAGATCCTTGGACAGATTACATCGCTGATCGCTGTCTTAGTTCTCGCATCACGCCACGAGACATGAGTGTCCGAGCTCCCTGAGGCGAAGCTGCACTCACCACCACTCGGTTGAAAAGCCTTGCAAGCGGAAGCTTCGCGAAGAGTAGGTGCATTGTTGTGCAAATCCGTGCTAAATTTGCACGATATCACCAAAGAAGAAGAGTGAAATTGTGTACTAGCTCGTCTTAGAAAGGATTTCTTAGATTAAGCACTACTAACTATTAGATGAACCCATGGAGGATCTAAATAGGACTCAACTAATAGGTTAGCTAACAATAGCCCTACTGATAAAAAGCTATTAGCTGACTTCCCGCCTGCTGCTAGCTGATAACTACGTACTAAAACTAATGGATCGAAATATAGCTTAACTCAAACTAAATCTAGAATTTCATTCTTTTTTAGACGAAGACATGAGTATATTCATGGGGGAAAGCTACATGTGCCTGCTTTCCAGGATGGTTACAAACTTATACAGTCTGATTCACTTCATCAGGTATGAAAATGTAGCACACCAAGCTCGCATGCACCACCGTCAGACGCACCAAAACCGACGAAAACAATTCGTTCCAAATATCTCAGTGGATGCTTCCCTGAAATTTCAGGCACCAGCAGGCATGTTTGCACCGCCACGGAAAACAGTAGGAAACGCGTTGCATCTCGCATTGCATTGCAGCAAAGATTCAGGAGACTAGCTAGAATAAATAGACGAGGCAAAGACTGGATGGACGGGTTGTTTCTGTTTGCTTGCACAAGCAGACCCACGTGCAGCACAGATATCTCGAGCTGACCAGTACGGCTGGCAATGGCAACTAACAACGAACTGCGGCCGCATAACTGTGGCTTTGGCTTCAGCTGGGAATCGGAGGGAGGAGGGATCTGGGTCAGGAGGAAAGCGGAAGATTCAGCACAGCTTCAGGCTTCAGCCAGACTGCTTGCACCAAAGCAACTGATCTGCTTCAAATCATTGTGCCAGGCTGCCAGCGGAAACGTCAACCTGTGCCTGGATCTCCTGCCCAGATAAAGCTAATCATCATGCTGCCGTACATCATTATGCACACAGGGCAGGTGACCTGCTGCACATGTTGATTTTCTTTTTTTTTTCTTTTCTGTATCTCAAGTTTGAACATATGGTTTATTTCTTTCGATTCAAAGAAGTTGCATGTTTTACTTGGCACCGCCTTAAGCTAAAATAGCTCGGGGTGTCTACCCCTGCAGCCCGAGTTTTTTATTTGGCACCAGCAAAGTGTTCATACAACTGGATGTTGAACGTCAACAATGCCCATTTATTCTCATAATTAAGTGATCCATGAGCAGTATGTGGACTGGACGACCAAAGGACTGCAACAGTGATTTCTTCTTCACTCATCACATGGTGAGCGCCTGGACGCTTCTCCTTCCACTCTCCATATCTCCTCCCGACCTCGTGCTGCCTGCACTTTGCACTGTTGCACAAGCGCAACCGATGGTATGGGCCCAGCTAGCCAAAGGCTGATGAGAAGTGAAGACAAGGAGGGCACTGGGTGGGAAACCTTGCCGGCAATGGCGCCTGTCTGCCTGAGAGGGAAGTTACTGCCGCTGCGTGCTAGTGCTCGGCTAGGCTGCAATCACACACACACACACAGAGCCTGGGGTGCTTCACGTCACGTGCAACTGTGCAAGCGCTGCGCAGGCCTCACCTCAGTGAAGTGAAGGCTGTGCCTCACCTCAGCCTGGGGCCTTGTGTAGATTTGATTAGAAATCAGTATTTGGCATTATAGCATTTTTTGTTTGTATTTGACAATTATTGTTTAATTATGGTCTAACTAGACTCAAAAGATTCATCTCGTAATTTACAATCAAACTATGTAATTAGTTATTTTTTTATCTATATTTAATACTCCATGCATGTGTCAAAGATTTAATGTGATAGAGAGAGAGTAAAAAACTTGCAATCTAAAAAAGGGCCTGGGTGGATGCAGCAGCCCGTTTGACCGCCATAGCCAGCAGCCTAGACACATGATGTGTTTCAGAGTCTCTGTGACACAACCCCTAGTGCTCGTCTCATGAGGGAAAGGCAGCAGGCACATGGGCATGGCGGTGCGTGCTGCGTAGCTGCGCAAATTGAACTCAGAATCGGCGTGGGCAGCTAAGGGGAGCAGCAGCCGGGGCAGCGGGTCGGTGCTGCCGCCGGAGATAGAAAGGATTCGCGGCTGCGGGCGGAGACAAGGCCCCGGCGTCCTGGCGCGAGAAGGAAAACGGCGCGATCCGAAGGCTACCGTCAAGCATCAACATACTCCGTGTACCAAACGTCCAAACGAGTGTGGACATGCAAAACTTGACGTTATTTTTTACAAGGAAAAATTTTGTCAGGGTGAGCCGCGCCACTCGAGAGTGGGTTGCTGATCCGTGAACCGTGCCTACAAGGCACCGCAGCAAGGCCGAGAACTGCATTAATAAAGTAACCGTGCGGAGCAAAGACTGCAACCAGATGTCTCCGACGAACAGTTATGCCTAGCCCGACTAAAGATAGAACAGCTAAATGCAGGCTTAGCATCACCCCTCAGCTGAACTGAAACTCTAGCAAGATAAAACAACCAATTAAATGTCTAAATCCCATCAATTCTACTCAATGACCACCAGATTTTGTACAGATACAAGTCAAAAACCAACCACCCATCAGAGTATTGGCTCACCCTCGCAATCAAGCAGGGAAGTGGCAACAGAATGTATAGAACCTCAGCTGAGGGCATCCGGACTATCCCAGGGCGAAACATTTACGGGAAGAAGCAAGCCAGGATTGACGAGCATGTGCCACTCTGGGTTTAACCTATCTTCTACCATGTACAAAATCCAGATCTTATTCACTGCGCACCGAGTTGTACTTCTCAGCAAGTGCAGGAGTGGTTGTTATCTTGTTCATCAGATTCTTGAACCGTAAACTGTAGTCGCTGCCACTGCATACAAAATAATTCAGAGGACAAAATAAAAAGCAAGATGGTTAAGGGTTGGAATCTTGTCAAAAAATCAAGCAATAAAGGGCAAGGGTAAAGATAGAATGACAGCATCGAATCAAGCTTTACCTTATGCGGCTTAAAGAAGAAATGGCCCTAAGAGCGCTACGAATCATGTCTTCATTCCGATCGACCTCCTGCTTCACTGCATCCCCCTTCGGTTTGTGACTTATTGTTTTCTCAATCGGTTCAACTATGGAGTCCAAAACTGAAATGGCAAAGCTGCAATATCAGAACAAAATCTGCAACATTTGCAATGTGACTTAAAAGGTTCTTGATTAGAACAAACCAGCAAGAACGGCTGAGGGGCACTTGTCTGCTAGCTTTGAGAGAATCAAATGGCAAGGCATTTTTACATCATAATGATCTGCAGAAAGCATAGTAAAGAATCACTCATGTTGACAAACAAATTTGAGTCATGCAGTACATATTTTAAGGGAAGGTGGTGGTAAGAAAACAAGTTCATTGAAGAAATAGTGATTAATGATTAATATGCTGATGCAGGTATATCACATGGTTGTAACATAACTAGGAGAGACAGCACTGTAATAATATCACAAAGGAAAAACATTATTCTAAGGTCTCAATATCTCAGGTCACCACTCACCAGTGGTAACAGCCTAACAGGACAGGAAAGTAATACACTGTATTATTTAAATTAAAATTTTGCAATTCATAGATACTAGGAAAGTTTATATACCATGAAGCGGAAACAGGTAAATTTGATAACAGCTAAGTATCACGCTGATGAGATAAAGGATAAGCAAATTCACCATTCAAAAGTCTAATAGACTGCAAATGGTATCACATTTGATAAGTCTTGCCATTTTCCAAATTGCAGTTATGGACATGTAAGTGAAGAAAACGTACTTACCACCTAAGCCAGACAAGAGGAAAGGTACAATGAAGGACGATGGATTCACTTGATCAAGACAACTGTCCAATAAAGTGTCCACACATTCAAAGGCAGCTTTCCTGAGTTCAAGACCATCATCTACAACATGCTTGAAAGGCCCAAGATCAACTGTCCTGATCAACTCTTGCTGCAAAGAAAGGACATCATCACATCCAGGATGGATAAGATATAGTGCAACTGTAAAAAAAAAAGAGGGCGTACCCAGTGCAGAGAGCTCCCGCTCTGTGCGGGGTCTGGGGAAGGGTGTCAGTGGCAAGCCTTACCCTCGCCTGTGCAATGCGAGGAGACCGCGACTCGAACCCGGGACCTTCCGGTCACAGGCGGTAAGACTCTACCGCTTGCACCAGGCCCGCCCTTCATAAGATATAGTGCAACTGTAACACTGATTTTATTATAATGCAACTTCCTCAGTTAAGAGAGCTCAAATATCTGAAACGATATAATTAACATACAAGAAACAATACCTTAATAACAGTTTGGTCATATAGAAGAGGTAATAACTCTGGAAGAAGACCTTTAATCAAATTTGGCTTGTTGTGCGCTGCTGTGCTCAAAGCCAGAACCGCTGCTCTTCTCACATGCTGTGAATGCAAACGAAAGGAAAAAAAATGCTACTGTGAGTTCCACATCCTGTCACTATCATTCAGTATAACAAAAAATGAAAAATAATTAATTATGTAAACAAGTGTATTGTTACCCTATCGCTGTCTTTAATCAACATCAGGAAAGTAGATATCTCAGAGTACATGATTTCATCTATTTTCTCAGGTCGTTCAACAATTGAATATTTTATAGCAATGGCAACTGTAGCTCTTGTATTTGCTGCTGGGCTAGATGTGCGTACCTACAAAGAGAGATTACATTAGGCCGTCAAAGCAAAATAACTGCAAAGTGAAGAATAGCTTTTGTTGGTTAGCCATGTCACACCTTCAAAGCAGGGACTAATTTTTTTGGTTCAATTAAAGCAATTTTTCCTAAACACTCTGCAACAACATTCCGAACTCCCTCCTCCTCACTTTCACAGTGATTGAAGAGCAATGCCAATATCTTCTCAATGTTTGAATCCTGGAGTTCACTCTGGCCAGTATGATCAACAGATTGTCGCACGATTACCTGACAGTTTTTTAGTACGAGCAAGTTTTAGGCAACAGTTAGATGAGGAATGCATTTTACAACCAAAGTTCAAATAGAAATCAACCTCTTTAAGTGAATGGAGCAACAAATATTGCTTCTTCTGTTGATTGTCAATCTGATCCAAAATAAATGGTAAATACTTGGAGAGGTTGCCAACAGCAATGTTTCCAAGTGCATAGGATGCTGCGGACTTAATCTCCTCAAAAGGTGATTGAAATGATTCAATGACAATGTTCTCAATTTGAACATGATTGCTGAGGTCCTTCCTCCTCCCAATTTCTCCCAGACATAACAAGGCCATATGTTGTTTAGCCTGAGATGAAGATAATACACACTTAGCAGATGAGATATTCTTATTTACATACACAAACCAATCATCCTAATAGCAGTCAAAGTTTGGTGAAGCCTATCATGGCTAAATAATCAATAACAGGTGTTAACAGTTCACTATATAATCGTAAAGGCTAAATAATTCACTATAATCGTAAAGGCACTACTACCAAAGTTTTTATGGAGTACCCAATAATAACCATAGAAAGGTGTATGATTAACATACAACAGATTATAAGCCAATAACAAGCTATAAATTCAATCCCAGAGTTTTTAATTGACCTTCCAGAAACGAATGGATCATGTAATATTCGTCACAGAGGCAATAAGCATCACAGGAAATTTCAAAATCGAACAATATCTGAATCAAGATCATGTACTATCTGAATTAACAATTGCCTAGTATAAGGCCCACCGCCCACCTAGATAAAAATGGCCATGAATCACTTTTAAAACACTGATTAGATTACACCCAAGGGTAGCGACATGACATGGATGAAAATGAGTAAACCTACTGAACAAGAAATATATCCTCTATCAGGGGCAAGACTTACAGAGTTAGTAGTGCTGTCATCTTTCAAAATGCCTTTAAGCATTTCAATTGTAGATGCACACTTCTGGTCACCAGCTGCTAAGCACAGAACAGCAACACACTTAGCAATAGAAGACAGTGCTTGCTTGGCAAGACTACCTGACTGTGATGGCTTCGCAGCAGAAATAAGGGAATCCAACAAAGCATCAAAGCTAGTATTTGCAGATTGAACAAGTGACGCAAAAAACCTCTGAAGAGCCTGTAACAATATTAACATCATATGTTAGTAGCCGCCTAAGAAATCAAGTGTGTGTGTGTGTGTTGGGGGGGGGGTACCTGTAGTGCCTGCCCTTGCAAGAGGGCACTCCTGATCAAAACAAGGGCCTGAGGCAAAACCTTATTTCTCACAGCTAAACCAACATTTTTAATGGATTTTCTGTCAACCATTATTGTGCAACAAAGTTCTAATGCAAGAGCGGTCATATGCAAATCCATGTCACTACCACAAATAAAATACAAGTCAGCATCAGTAGTCATGGCAGGGCATATGCAAAAGGAAGAAGAATAATGCAAGGAAAAACCTTATGAGGGTTGAAAGTTCCACGATTATCGTCTCATATGAAGAAGAGCCAATCTGACCACCATATGTGACAACCAAAGAATTTAGAGTTCCCAATGTTGCCTGCCTAAGAGCTCTGTCGGCCTGTAACATAAGAGAGAAATAATGAAGGCTTTATCTTGCACTTTGCTACCCAAGCTAATGCTTTTCAGAGAAAATAAAAATCAAATGAAGGCAGCAAAGATCCATGCAACTATGCAAGTACCTTACGAAGGAAAGCTGTGAGCTCAGAAACAACATGATCCAGGACACACGAGAGATCAATACGAAGAGGTGAATTCGCAATAACTGAAAATGCCTGTAAAGTGAAACATTTTAGGTACCACAGCAGAATAATGTCATGAAAATAATATTAGGTCAGTGAGATGGTTCATAAAAATAAGGAACAAATAAAAAATAGACAACATATTCCCATGCATAAGCAGATAGCAATATGTATGATTATTCAATATTAGATACCCTTAATCAAGTGCATTTGTGCTTTAACATAAAATATGCCATAAACACAATGTTAAATCTCAAAATTAAGTATTGGTATCACACGCAAGCAGTAAAAAACTTACCTTGACAGCTGTAAGTCTTGTAATTTCATTACCCATCCTATCGACGAGTATGGGAAGGCATGCTGGTAATTCTCTTTGAAGACCATCACCAAAAGTAGAGACCACCAGACTCATGCAAGATATGGCGCATTCTTTTACCTCCTGGGAGAACATAAATTTGCATAATAAATGAGTGCACCTCAAGCACACAAGAGAGGGAGTGGGAGAAGACACAAGAGAATTTCGCCAAACCTGATCCTGATCTTGATTAGCCAAACGTCCCAGTATAGCATTATAGATTGGATGAATGTATGGCCTGAAATCGACTGAGCTTGTCTGCACCACAAAACAACAAAAATAAATAAAATAAAAATCAGATAACAGGGTACTTCATGTCCGCAAGACAAGGAATACAATATGACCTCGAGATTTGGGCGAAGGACACGGACTAGCTCTCCGCACACCCGCAAAGCCTCAGCAGTGACTTTATAATATCTATCTCCGATAGCAGATAGTATAGGGGCAGAAAGTGCCTGGAAATTTGATTTGCAATCAGCAGCCACTCCGACGGTCTTTAAATTCTACTGAACACTAATAGACTGTACCTTGATGTATGGATGAAACACAGATGGCGAATGTGAAGCCATAACAAGCCTTGTAAATACAAGGGCTTCGATCTTCAGGTTGGAGGTAGAAGACTTATCCTGTCAAATTGACAATTAAGTTAAAAAAAATGGTTTCACAACAATTTTATTAGGGGCTGAAAGTTTTTGTTCAAAAAAAATTAGGGGGTGAAAGTCACTACTAACATTCAAAGCCTTCTCAATACCAGGAACAAGTGATCCAAAATGATCAGCAAGACAGTCTGGTAATACAACCACAAGCTCCTTCAGTACTGAAAATGCCCCAACCTGAAAAATGTTGGGAATATAATCAGACTTACAGTTCCACAACCATGAGTTGGAGGATAACTGAAAGCCTAACCTTTGTCTTGATTGATTTTTCACGTAACTGCCTGTTGATAGACTTGACGACTTTTGGTACCTCTTGCTTCAGCAACCATCGAGGACTGCAAAGCAAAACAGAATGATGCATGGGGACAGGAGCCAGAACATGCAATCTAAATGCAGACCTTTTCTGCTAAGCATAGCAACAAAGGCAACATATACATTCATATCTAGTGCCCAGTATAGGGGACCAGATTTCCACGTTATAGAAAGAACAAACATGGCACCAGTTTTTCTAACTACAGCTCGATGAGCCTCACCTGGACTCATCGATGTCGCCTTGTCCTTTCGTTACATTACCAGTTTGGCGTAACAGCTCAATGAAGGTGTTGAAGATATCCATCTAGAATCAGATAGAAGCTTCATAAGATTTAGAAATTAAGACAACTAAAGTTTTATATCAATTTAGTCATGTATTTACCTTTACATTCTCCTCTCTTTCCCGAAATCGTTCAATTAACTTTGGACAAGCCTGCACAGAACAAAATATATATGTCAAAAAATTCACAGAAGGCATTTCCTTGACAAGTATTGAAGACAAATTATTAGATTAATCTTTGTTGCATTTATTAGTAAACGCCACCTCAAAAACATTGAAAACAATATGGCATAAATATAATTATTGATGTCAACAAACCTCTAGATACATCTTTGACAACATTTCAGGACGACACACTATAATTGCAGATAGGCACTTTGCTGATGCCCTACGGACTTTCCAGCTTGCATCCTCATCATCTGTGTACTCATTTGCACTCTCACTGGGAGAAAAGTTACAAGTTTAAATTACATGAACTGGAGCAAATTAATGTGTAGGAAATCCCTGTAAGCATAATAGTGACGTACTCGTCATCATCCTCTTCCTGCCCTTCCTCATCAGTATCCTCATCCATGCTATCAGTGAAATTAGGATCATAGCTCACATATTCCAAAGCAAGATTCAGAATGCCCTCACAATATGGGGATATATCCCTTGGGCACCTGAGCATAAAGCTCTCAAGAGCCTATATGACAGAAAGAGTTAGAGCTAATTCAAAGAACACACATACAAAACAAATGTTAAAACAAAACAGATTCACACCTGCAAGCTGTATTCACGAAGCTCTTCATCATTTTCAGATGCGCTTGTGCAATAGCTTATAAGCAGAGGAACAGTTTCAGTAAGGTGTGGCCCAAAACGGTACCCCACAGAACGACTGCATGTCAGAACGCATAATGTCAGAGGAAGCCTCAGTATCAGACAAAATTCGATAACTTTGTAATCTCAACCCACAGTGGAAGCAAACAAAACATTTACTGCTAATGTAAAGCACTTTGAAAGTTATCCAGAAAAAAACATATAGAAAAATTTTAACTCACATATCCCTTACAATTACTAATGGTGGCTAGCCTCCAAAATTTTGAGATAAACAAGTACCTTAGAGAACCAATCATCTGGATATTTGTTCGGGTAATTTCAGATTTTGCACCTCTATTTTTCAGCAACTGTACAACTTGCAAAGTTGCCTTCGCTAACAAATCATCTGATAAACTTGGAGCAAGTGATGCTACAAAACAGAGACAATTTGTGGTTATAAATACCTAGATATGTTTATGAGATCATAAGATCTAGAAAACATTTGCAAGACTATGAAAAGCACAATAAGTACAAATAAATCAAATGTGTGTTGGCTTACCAATGCAAGAAATAGACTTCTTTCTGACGCTTGCTTGGTTGGAACCCAATTGAGATAAAAGTGCAGTGAGCATATACTCATGATCTTTTGTGATCAAGTTGCCAAATCTATGAAGCACATCCGCCAATATATCAAGACATTCGCATTTAATTTCAGCACCTTTTGCCTGCCAACAGATGAGGGGTTACATTTAACTACATGATGAGCCATGCGACAACAAACACATTTACGTGCTGTACGATCAAGAAATGGACAAAATACATTCTTAATTGCCGCAATAGGTAGTGAAACTATCATACAATACATCCATTCCACATGTACTCTAACAAGAAAAATTAAGAAAGCGGCAAAATACACCAGTAATGGCATACACTTTGCAGAACTTCAATCCTACTATTATTCTATGACCTTCAAACATTCTCGTATGAATTAGCTAAGCTGTGAGCATATTCTAATGCCAATTTTTTGAGCTAAGATTCTGTTGCTAAACAGCTGCATCATACTTGTCTTCAAAGAACCAACTTGATTATACTTTTAGTAACCACATTAACATTACCTCCATTGTAGTGGACAAAATGTAGTTTATAATATCTAGAGAACCTAAAAGTTTCTGTAGCTGTTTAGCTTTGATAATCAGCCTGAAAAACCTATATGCTTTACAAGTGGTTCTGAAGAGACGTGACTCCTTTTATATAAGAAAAAAGAAAAGGCACGTCAACAGTGCTGCTAACAATGGTGGTTGAAATTACTAGCTGTTGGATAATTAAATAGCTTCAACATCATCATAGTTACATGTTTATATGCTTATGATGCTGTCTAAACAAACGGTCTACACCTCAGCTCATTTTTGTTGCAATACATACAGAACATTTAGCTGAGATAGGAAAAATTTAACATTACAACTCATAACTAGAAAGCTTTGAAATCAAAGATTAACCAGCTCACAGTGAACATTTTGAGTGGTCTGAAAAAATACAGGCCTGAAAATGTAGAATATTTGGCACTCGAGTAGAAAGCTTACGGTATTGACACCCTTGATGAGTTGTGGGGCAAGAGAAAGCAAAATCTTTTCAGCAAGTGATGGTGTAGTAACTTCTGCAATGATTGTCTTCAGGGCTATACTAGCTGTATCTCGATGCTGGTCCTTTCCATTGATCAATTTAACACAAAGTTTATTGGTCATCTCCTCAACCCTGTCCTCACCAACCTTCTTGACGAGTGGAGCCAAGCTACAAAGACGACATTACAAGAGTTAGCCAATACCACAAAATGCAGAAAGCAAGAAGTGTGGGAAGAACATAATAGAACAACAAATAACAAATTCTCGGAAGAACATAATAGAACAACAAATAACAAATTCTCACGCATTGAAGTGCTCACACAATGCAATTACCGAGGCATGACAACTTGATACATGATACCCAGCAAATGCATGTCTACTCATTATAAAATAAAAGGCTACCTTCATACACCACTGACAGCAATTCATTACAGTAAAGTAGCAATATCAACATGCTCCCAATTCCCAAATTCTGGCAGCCAGGAGATCTTAGAAATGCATAATTTGCACCCCAATTACCAACAACATTGACAAATGTGGATTCATTGTTTTATACAAGATTGTTTGAACATAGACCCAAAAATTAAAAAAGAAGTATCGGGAACAAAGTTATAGTATGAGATGGTATATGATGGATTTGTGGTTAAGGGTATTTTAAACTAAAAACTGCAGCATACCATTTAACAGCTAAACCAGAAACATCTCCCGAAGCATCCTCGAGTTGTTGAAGAACAGTAATTGTTAACTTTGGCTCAAGGTCTTGATCAGCTTTGAAGCTTTCTTTATTCAATTCACTAAGTAGATCTGATGTTGCCATATATCTGTAGTCTTTATCTTTCCCTGTCATCTATACGGGCATTTAACAAAGTACTTTAGAAGTCAAAAGGATGCATAGTGGAACCCAACTTCATGCAAATTAGTTCAGGGGTTACCTTCTCCAAGATGTTGGTTATGTTTAAATTTGCCATTTTTGCAAGCCTTTACCAGAGCACACACTTCAGAGAATTCAACAATGTCCTGCAGGAAAACAAAATAGGTAATGAGACTAGTTTAACAGCAGACAGTTCAAACGAACAGATCCGCATTGTTGAGTTTTCAATTGCTGGTATATGCATAAAGCACTTAGCAGTGGCAGGAAAGATTAAACAATGGTGAGATTATATTTATGATATGAACCTAATATTTTTTTTCTGCAGGAAATCCTAACAAGGATTACCAATCATTTAACTCCAGAGTCATGCTCAGCAGACAGAAAGAGGGATGCACTTCATGGCTCAAAGTTGTGTATCATTACAATGGACTACTGTTACTTGTACAAACAATATCATTACAGTGGCAACTTAAATTTCAATTATTATTACAATGACATAAAGCAGCTACAGTTATAATGTGTGTACACGCCACAAAAAAAAGGAAAATATACTATGCATGACGTAAAAGATAAACAAGACAATGACACTTGTGCGTTTGTAGATAGGCAACAGGCAAACAACAAAAATTAATATAGGCACAAATATGCAATAAGCAAGTGATAACGCTATACATAACACTGTCCGATGTTACTATATGGGAGTAGATAGAATTCCTAGTGGCCACGCAACTAATAGCCTATTCGGCAGGCTGGGCTTGCTCGTAAACGATCGTAAATTTCCAGCCGGAACAGTATTTTTCTCTCACACCAAACCAGCCAGCAGTAATTCTTCATGAACCAGCAACGATCCAGACCAGCCAAACGAACAGGCTCTAAATTGTAATAGGAACAAATACAACCTAACTGATTCGGTCACCTAACACAGAGCAACAAACAGAACGTTGAGGGCAAACAAAACCGCTAAAATAATTTGTGGTTAGTGAACTGTAACTGCATCTAGGGTACAAAAACATATTATATGGAGCGGAGCCACTAATGCTGATCTCCCACACTGATGAACAACACCTGATCGAACCATGGATGGATTAGATTGAACTGCACTAGTAGCGCACGGCATCACGCAGCACTCAAATCTACAACTAACTGTGTGGAGCAAGACTTCTTCCAGTGACAGGAGAATGCGATGAGCACCCTCGTAGCACAAGGGCATCCATCCAGACGAGCGAGCTAGGGTTACTCACTCGAAAACAGACGAGCGGACGGATCTCCGCTCCGCTCAACTCCACTCCACCGGAGCGGGGCTTGGGCGGAGGGAGGCGCGGCTGGTGCAGCGAGGATCCGGCACCGGCGGGCGGCGGAGCGGGGGGATGGGAGGAGGCCGACGGCGGTGTGCTCGGCTGCACTAGGGAACTCGGGAGCCTGGGGTCTGGGCTTAAGAGGAGCCTTGGAAGGTGATGAGACGAGACAATGGGCCAGCAGCCCAGAGGTCCATTGAGCCTACATAGGCTGGGTGTTATGGGCCTCAAGGAGTTAGGAGTTGGACCGCCCTTTTTTTTTGGCGTGCTCGGAAAAGAAAAATGTCTCCCCGCTTCTCTCCTCTGGCTCTGACTCTTGAGTCCTCTCTGGCTCTCTCTGATCCGCGGCACCGCCGCTCGCGCTCGCGGGGAGGCGTCAACGGTCAACCCCCATCTTCGACTTCGGGGGACTCCCTAGCCGCAACTTCTTGGTTGCCCGGAGACCTGTAAGCCGAGCTAGCCCTAGCAACCGCTCCCTGGCGACCTTCAGCGTCTTGGAGTACGCATTTCTGTCCAAGCAAGCAAGTAAGCAACTCATGTACTCGCCAATTCTTGCTCAGATGGTTCCACAGGTTCTGTCTTTGTTGAAAAGTTGTGGTAGATACTTGGTCAAGTTGGTGGCTTGGTACCCAGGATTATAGCTATATGACTGATGACCCCAGGGTGTTCGATGCAATGCTTCGCTGCGAGCTCTGTGCCTCTATCTTATATTAAACGTCAACATTACAGTCATGCTGAATACTTTGGAGAATACATTTAAGGGTTTCGTACATCCGAGTACGTTCAAACATGAAATCGAGGCAAACTTAGCAAGATCATGGGCTACTATATTTGCCTCTCTCTTGACATGCAATAATTCAAAAACCATGCATCTCCCTATATGCTCTTGAATTTCATTTAGAACAGGCAGGATAGTCGACTTGTTATTATCATTAGTTTTTCACAAGGATTGCATCCCTAAACTATCAGTTTCCATCATTACCTTCGGCCGATTCAGCAAATCCATCAAAACAGCCCCATCAGTTGCAGCATAGGCTTCAACAGAGAGAATATTTGGGATCGAGCCATACCATTTGCATTTGGCTGCTAGAACCTGACCATTTTCATCTCGAATAACCACCCCAGTAGCAATTTGCTGACTTTCCGCCTTGAAAGTAGTATCCACGTTGATCTTCACAAATCGGGCAGGAGGTAGCTTCCAATTCATAATTTGTGCATTGTCCTTTTCTGACATAGATTCACTGGAAACGATTAGATCAGAAGATAATTCTTTCGCCCACCTACAGGCCTGTATCAAATTCATTTTTGTTTCCCCATGGCGTCTTTCATTGTGCGCTGCCCAATCTGCCCACATTCCACATAAAATGGGTCCACGGTTTGGAGCAGGACAATGAATTATCCAGTAAATCAAAGCACCATGTAGCAGGATGCAATTTAGGTAATTTAATATTATACAATTCATAGGACTGCCAAAACATGGTAGCAAAAGTACAATAATTAAAACATGATAAATAATTTCATCTTGAACACCACAGTCAGGACATGTACCTTGAGTTTTGATATGCCTTTCCATCAGATTTTCTTTCACCGGCACATAATTATGCATTACCCACCACCAAAAAAAACTTCACTTTGGGAGGGATTGTTAGCATCCATATCTTTTTCCAAACTGGATTTTCCTTACTTACTGAAGAATTTGCAGTATTTGTTTTATTCTGTTCCAACATTCGCATTGAGAGGGATATTAATCGATATGCCATTTTTTCCACACCCTATGCCCACATATCCTCCTTCAAGCTTCCAAGTGGAATATTCAGGATTGCCTTTGCATCAGCCACGAGGAATTTTTCCTTTAAACTGTTCATTCCAAGCAGAACCTTCTGAAGTGAGGAGTTCATGAACCCCCTCAACTGTAGCTTCTGGTTTCCGGTGAGTAGTTCATTCATCATTGAACGAGTCAATAGCAGATGTGTTCCATGTGAGGAGCGTTAGAGCCAAGATACTTTGTATATACTTGCGTGTAAATCGCCAGTGTTTTCTGGACATTGTGTTCTTTTTGTGTGATCAAAACCTAATCTTACTGCAATTTTGCCCTTTTCAGTACTGAAATATTGTTCCATCTACTCTGTTGATGCTAATGGAGTCTGGTAGCCCAGTTTCGAAGAAATCACGATTGTTCCACTCAGAGGATTGTGAAATGGAGGAAGTGCCTTCCAATGCAGCAGGCGTGAATCCGAGTTTGCATTGGACCCAGTGGCAGATTCTGGACTCCATTCTCCCAACCGGTGGTTTCGCACATTCCTACGGCCTTGAAGCTGCTATGCAATCTCGTATGGTGAACAACCAGGAAGACTTGAAGTCATTTGTCATCCAGGTTCTGGACAACACTGGCAGCCTGTTGCTTCCATTCGTGTACTGTGCTAGCAAGTCCCCTGATGCAGCGGAATGGGTCAAGCTGGATCAGTTGCTGGAAGCTACATTGACGAACGAGGTTGCAAGGAAGGCATCCACATCTCAAGGCTCAGCTCTGCTGAGGGTGGCTGCGTCTGTCTTCACTGAGATTCAAGTGCTGCAGGATCTCCGGCGGGCATTCCTTGGTTCTAAGAGCGTGTCATTTCACCACGCGCCTATATTTGGGTTGATATGTGGGCTAGTTGGATTTGACAGTGAAACAGCGGAGCGGGCTTACATGTTTGTGACAATGAGGGATGTGTTCTCTGCCGCGACTAGACTCAATTTGATCGGACCGCTGGCTGCTTCAGTGCTGCAGCACCAGGTTGCACCAGATGCCGAAAGGATGATGCAGAAATGGAGGGACCGTGATGTCTCTGAGGCATCACAGACTGCCCCACTGCTCGATGCGTTGCAGGGTTGCCATGCTTACATGTTCTCCAGGCTGTTTTGTTCATGAGAATAAGGTGAGCATACACACAACTCTATATTAGATGATCCGGTCATGCTTTGATGCTATTCTGATAAATTTCTGTTACCTTTTGAATTACTCTGCATGAGGCCTCTTCCATGATAATGTTTGATGGCTAGCAAAAGGCAATTGAGTGATGACCTTCATAACCATTATATGCATTCAAACCATTATATGCATGATGCATTATATGCATTTATTTAAACCGTTATATGCATTCAAACAATAATATGCATGATGCAGTGTTTGAGTTACTCTGCATGATGCATTCAAACCATATATGCATTTATGATCTTTCCATCCAAGTGATTCCAAGTGTTTGACTTTGGTGGTGCTTAAGTTATTGTCTGATATTGATGTATATAAATATATAATAATCTACAGCATAGTATACGAATACTGGCATCAGATATATGGAACAGATCTACAGCATATAATATTGATGCATAGCAATTCTTTAATTCTACATCATATATATAATAATATCCCTGGAAAATACTGGCAGCCTTCCATGGCCATGGCTCCAAGTGATTTCTGTACGTTTAAGTTGTTACCTGATACTGATGATGCATCTACAGCATAGTGCTAGTAGACAAGAGGCTTTGCCAGGTCCATTTTGTGCTATTCTAGGTCATAGAACTCAAGATGAACACGTGAATTCCTGATAGACCCAACAAGATGTCCAGATGCCCTTATTCTGTATTTTTTGTTTAACTTCTGCTTCTTTCAAGTTACTGAAATGAATGTGCAATTTGTTGTATTCTTGCCACAGGATTACCTCGACAGAAGTCAAGGACAACTGCCTTGTCATAAATAAAAATAACATCAGGTGATGACAAGAATCCCAGGGACGGATTATTGATTATTATGCCTCATACTGACTCTCGTTGTTATTTTCATGCAAACTTGTACAACAAAGACGCAAATAATGCATCATTAATATTTGGTGTGTACCATCTATTACACCCATCATAGCATCGTCTCTTCATATTCAACGATTGTACGACATAAATATTTGCATGTCAAGTGTTACAAAGAACACACTTTTTTTTATTTTCGTTCCATGATACAAAGTGTCTCATACTGCAGCTTGCTTAGCTTCAAGGGACTTCTCATAATCCTCAATGGATTTGAACAGCTGGGAGAAGTTTCCCTTGCCAAACCCGCCACAGCCACCCTTCTGGTATTCTTGCCCCTTCTCATCCTTCTCCATGCACCCGATCCTTTGAATGATCTCCAAGAACAACGTTGGCCTGAATGACATAGCTGATCCAATTAGATTTTGGATTGCATAGAGGTCGAGGAAATAACCATGCATTGACACTAGAATGCTAAGCTAAAATCTTCAAAATTAAGTGCAGAGTAACAATGGTGATAATGGATTGTTGTGCATCATGTACATGTAGTAATCAGTTGGGACTTGGGAGCTCGAATATGATTCACAGGATGCAAAAGGATCCTCTCTTCGATGTCACGATCTTCATAAAGATGCATCATGCATGGAGGCACAAAAGGAGATTTTCATACCTTTGTACTGTATATTCTATATGCCTGCGATCCTGAATTAGCTGAGTACCTATCCTGAAATTGTTCCTTTGCAATTCTACATGCATCATGCACTGCCAAAAAGAAGGTGAAAGAAGCAGAAGTTTTTTACCTGTCCCCCACTGGCTTGGTGAAGATTTGGAGCAGCACGCCCTGGTCATCCCTGTCCACCAGCACCCCTAGTTCCTGGCACTCCTTAATCTGCGCCTCCGTGAGCACGTCCCTGGCGCGCCGCCTCACGCCGTCATAGTAGTCGGGCGGCGGAGGCGCCATGAACTCGAAGCCGCCCATGGCCGAGCGCGCCTGCATCTCCCTGAGCGTCCTGAGCACGTCGTCGCTGGCCAGCGCCATGTGCTGCACACCGGGGCCGCCGTGGTGGTCCAAGTACGTCTGGATCTGGCTGCGGCGCTTGGTGCCGTGCACCGGCTCGTTGAGTGGGAGCAGCACGTTCTCGGCGTTGTTGGCGAGCACCACCGAGTTGAGCCCGCTCTCCGTGGTGCCCACGTCCTCCGCCGTGAACTCGGCGAACTCGTGGAACCCCGTGAAGCCAGCGAAGTAGGCGGCCGCCGGCGCCAGCTCCGGCACGTTGCCGACGATGTGGTCGAACCTCCTCAGCCCGTAGTCCACCGCGCCGGGGCTGCTCACGCCCTCGAACCCCGGCAGGAAGGGCGCGTCCGCGTCGTCCGGGTAGCTCACGTACCGGAGCACGACGTCGCCGTAGAGCTCGACCTCGGCGAGGCGGAAGCCGAGGCCGAGCTCGACGGGCTCGAACGCCGGGCGCGCGCCGGCCGCGACGCTGGCGCGGAAGGCGTCCTCGGCGTCGGCGACGCGGAGCGCGACCGCGCGCACCGCGAGGCCGTGGTCGACCGCGAAGCGCCGCGCGTCGGCGGCGGAGAAGGAGGGCAGCGAGGCGGTGGCGGCGTCGGCGCCGTGCGCGTAGGGCGCCGTGAAGAGGAACGCGAGGGCGCCCGAGCGGAGCAGCAGGGACGCGTGCGCGGTGTTCCCCGTGGAGAGGTCGGACCGCGCGGCGAGCGGCGCGCCGAGCCCGAAGGAGAAGCGGCCCGCGGCCGAGGCCGCGTCGGCGCACCAGAGCTCGACGTGGTGGAACGCGAACGTGTGGAAGCGGTCGGAGCGCGGGTTCACGCGGACGAAGTTGCGGTGGCCCACGAGGCGGAACGCCGCCTGCTCCGCTGATGCCGCCGCCACGACGGCGCCGGTTGTGGCGGCGGTGGGGGTCGGGGGCATTGTGCTCGGAGGGCGTGGCGGCCTCCGCAGCTTGCAGGTGCAGGTGCGCTTGGGGGTGACTGGTGGGTGACTCTGGGGATGACGAGGGATGACTGATGAGGGGGTCAATAAGGAACGAGATCCTCTGACTTGGCCCTCTCCGACTGCTGAGTGCAGTCAGGCAATCTCCACCGTTGCCAGCAGATCGAAGGCTACCAACTGGGATCAGGCCATAAGGGTCACGGGTCACGGCCCAGCAGCGGAAGAAATCATTAGCTTGACATCTTGTTTGCTGAAGGATTCTAATTTACCTGCCTCATCTCGTCCGATTTTTTCTTCTCTGATCTACTAGTGTTTTAACGTCTCTAAACTTTTGAAAACCATTCACTTTTACACCCGGAGTGATTTTGATGGTCATTTTGCTGATGTGACATTACGTCAAATGGGGTAAATTGGACTAAGTTGAAAATTTCAAGGAGATAAATCGGACTAGAAATATTTCTATAAAAGTATAAAAATTTATAAAAATAAAAAAGTAACCAAATATATTTTTACATGAAAAATATATAATTAAAAATCATCAAACCTAGTTTAATCTTGAAAATAACCCAATCAATTATTTTAGCTTGAAAAATTATGAAACTTTTTTAAGATTTTTTAAAATCATCCTCTATGTTATGCTGCCTGCATGGAAAGTGTTTCAATTTTGATGAACTTATTTTGTTACTTATTTTCTAGTAGAAGTTCACGTATCTATTATAGTTAGTCGATATTGATCATCGGAACTGCACAGAAGTGCCAGTGAAGCATTGTCAGGACCATAGTGGCTATTGGTTCCCTACCCTAGTATTTTTTTCCAAAGTACATGTGTTAGCATGCGTGGCTGCATACACCTTGCCGCACATATGCATACATCCATGGACCCCTTGTTTAATATATACTTAATTAAGTTTTATAAACTATTAAATTTAATTAAGTTTTAGCGCAATGAATTATAGAGCGTAACGTGGCATGAAATCTAGATGGTAGCACACGAGTCATGATATTTGTACACATAGAATCAAGTGT